CTCCTGTGTGTTTGAAGGCAACAGAGCAGGAGATGGAGTAACCAAAGATAGAGATTGGAGCATATTGCCTCATCACTGGGCCTCCTTGGCTCAGGTCACACATTTTCACACACATACTCACAAAAATGCACAAACACAAAAGCATATGCTCACACACTTGCATCAATACATTTGCATATACATATAGACACTCAAAAACATAACACCCTCACAACCCAGCAGTGTACACTCAAACATATACAAAAAAACAGATCATACACTCAAACACAACACATTCACAAAGCTATAACACTCACATAAGTACACATACTCTATCATAATAAAAGAAAGGGAGAAAAAAAGCAAAATTTTGGCCTTTCAGAGGGTCTGATTGTTTCCTGATTTTCAGTTCTTTATGGACTGTAGGAATGTCACAATGTCCTGCCTCTGTCAACCCTTCCTTGTGCTTGCCAGGCAGGCGTGACCCTAGCCCTGAATTTCTTTTTTGACTCAAATCTTTTGGAGCAGTAGCTTTCCTCTGCTGTTGGATTCAGTGGATCAATTATCAGTGATTAGCTGGGTGACCTTCAGCAAGTTACTGGTCTTTTTGTTTCTGTTTCTTCCAGTGTAAAATGAGGATGATAATTCTTGACTCAGAGGTTCGTTGAGAGGATCAAATGACTTAATGGCTGTAAATACTTGGAACTGAGCCTGGCACAAAATAAGCACTCCAATCCTGTTCAACATCATTTCATCCTTACAACAATCCTGTGCGGTAAATATTTCTTTCAATGAGGAAACTGAGACTCATGCACAAATACTTTCTCCAAAGTAGCTCGTCTGTTAACTCTTCTTCCAGGAGAGGAGTTGTTTCTGGCCACGTCGATTTCTCTCAGTCGTGTAAAGCTGAAGGTTCCTGCTGACCCTCAGCTGGGAGCCTGTGGTCTTCTCTGAAATCACTCTTGGCCCTGTTTTCACCCTCTAGGACTGCTTCATCTCCTCAGATATGTCCACCACTATGAGGTTGAGACTGAGCCTGGTATTAGACTTCGTGTGTGGTCCCAAGGTCATAACCTTGGTTGCCAATTCTGGGTGGGCATTGCAGAGCTTGGTAGCCTTGGGGAAGCCTGCCAGGTTCTTCAGTGAAGGGATTTCGAAAACAGATACAGCCAATAGATCCCATTAACGGGAGCTGCAGAGGCTGCCGCATTCTTCAAGGTAATGACTGCTTGGAGGGCAAGAAGTGTGACTGCTTAATTACCTCCTGGGACTCTGGGCACATTTGTTTTTAATCACTTTCTTTTAAAGCTAATGGCAGAAAAACTAAGCACTGTCCAACTTATATTCTTTTCTTACGAAACTAAGTTTTTCCCTGTTTTAAAAAAAAACATTAAAAAAAATACGAACCATTTTTATTTTGCAATGAGAACTTAGGGATGGCTGGGGAAATATGAACACAGGACTGTTGGCTTGCTTGTCCTGTAATAACTACCTTTTCTTTTTGCTTTTTAATGTTCTTTCTCCCTTTTTTCCTTCCTTCCTTCCTTGGTACTAGAGATTGAATTCAGAGCCTTCACAATGAGCTACATCCTTGGCCCTTTTAAAAATTGTTTAATTTTGGGCTGGGGATTTAGCTCAGTGGTACCACCACCTGCCTAGCAAGCTCAAGGTCCCAAGTTCGATCCCTGGTACCAAAAAAAAAAAAAATTGTTTAATTTTGAAACAGGGTCTCCCTAAATCTCTAAGTTTCCCAGGGTAGGCAGAAAACTGCCTCAGCCTCCTAGAGTGCTTGGATTATAGGTCTGTACTGCCATGTTTGGCTCAAGTTCCTAGTTTTAACACATACTTCTTCATTCAGGGTTGGCAAAATTGGCGTGCCTTTAGTGAGTCCCTACTTCTAAGCAAAGGAGCACAGTCTACACCAGAAAACATTTTAAGTGAGCGCTAAGATAGTGCTGAGAGAAACTGAAGCATAAAGAGTAAGCAAAGATGGAGGTCAGCATGCACTAGGAAACAGCCGGGAGGGACACGGTAGAAATGTTGCTGCCAGAAGTCAGGCAAGGCTGCTAGGTGTGGGCAGGGCAGATCCATCAGTGTCACTGCTGAGGAAACAACCACTGGAAAGGACTCATTCAGACTCCGGCCAAGGCGAATCCATTGCTGTGGGCGTTTGGGAAGTACTTATCGAGTGCTGTTCTTGACATGCTACATGCCAGAGTGGCTCGATGATACTCTGTCCCTGTCCTCTCAGAGCTGACAGTCCCGTGAAATGAGGCTGAAATGCCTGAGATTAGTAAATGTGGAAATCAGAAGAGAAGAATGAGGCCTAATTGGCCTCCTCGGTGACATGAAAAGAGGGCAGGCAAGCACGCTGACACAGGGCAGGGAGAAGTAAAAACACCTGAGGGTAAGTTGTTCACCCGGAGAAGTACCATGGAGGGAGGGAGACAGATGAGTCCTGTGGAATCTAATTGCTCGTGCCTGTGTCTGAGTGAATAAAGCCAAGGTGCGCTGGTCATTTGGGGCTCTCTGTTGAAGGGAGACATGGGCTCTCTGGCCCCCTGGGTTTTAACCTGTTTTGCTGTCTTTATTTTTCATCTTCATCACCCCTTGGTCAGGATCAAGCTCAGCTTGTAGGCTGGTGCCTACAGTTAAATAGCTACCCAAATGGTAGAGCATTTGGAGGGTCTGGGGAGAGGAGTCTATCGGGGTCGACCAGCGATCCATGTGGAGACCTGGCTGGGCGGCAGTGACACAGAGGGGAGAAGGAACCTAGACAATGATTCCATAACTCTGAAGGCCTTGGAAATGACCGAGGGCTCTGGGCACTGGTGAATCCACACTGAAGGGGGAGGTTCCAAGACCACACCTCTGCAAAGAGAAACAGACGACGAGAGCAGGGACAGCTGACCGGCTGGTGCAAGTCACTAAGTCGGAAACATCTCGTTTGAACTGCGGTCAGATGCCAAGAGAAAATGTCCTAGAAGCAGCTCCAGGTTGGGATGATGCTGGTCACTCTTTAGTGAGTCCTGGGCCTTGGAGAAAGCCCAGAAAACACAAAAAGTATGTAGGAAGGAAGGCAGGAGAATTATGGAAGCCAAGCCCCATGCCTGGGAAGAGAGGAGGGGCTGCTAAGTGTCTGCTCATTATGGCACAAGCTTGCAGAAGCTCTGGAGGTAGAGTCAGGAGATGTCATCTGGGATGGAGGCTAGAGTTTTTCTGAGGACCTTTGAGAACATTTTCAGTAGAGTCATGAGGCAGAAACTAGTTGGAGAGGAGGATTTAGGGAGAGAGTGGGAGAAGTAGAAGCAAGAGAGAACTACTAGACCCCAAGGCTGAAAGCTGAGTATTGTGGCATTCACTTGTAATTGCAGCACTGAGGAGACTGAGGCAGGATTACCAGTTTGAGTTTCATCTGGGGAAATTAGCAAGACCCTGTCTCAAAAGGAATGGGGCTGTAGCTCATGGTAAAGGGCCTGGGTTCAATCTCCAGTACCACAGGAGAAAACGAATGCCTGAACCTGAAAAGGAAATGAGGAGCCAGGATTCATGGGGTCAAGGTAAACATTGCACACTGGGTCTAAAGGCTGCAAGTTTGCATCAGATAGCAGTGAAGCAGAGAAGCATAAGAGAGGGAAGAGAGAAAATTCTCTGGAGAGTTAGGGAAAGGAAAGAAAGGAGACTTCTAGACTGTAGGACAGAGTGGGCAGATGACTGATGGAGGAGGACACGAGGGAGGTGGAGATTTAAAAGCCTGAGTTGAAACTTTTTGTATAACTTTTTCTTAAAAGTAGAAAGCCAAATCAACTGCAGCTGTGAAATTCCAAAGGTGAAGCTATGGGGAAATCAGACAGAGAAATTGACAATGCTTCAAGCACACAGAGGAGGGAGTCTTGGAGGTCTTCTGTTGGGTCAGGAAAGTAGGGAAACTATGTTGACTTGGGAGGAAGAAGAGGTTTGCTTTAGAACTTCAGGAGAAGTGGCCCCACTGGGGAAGCAGTGGAGGGGCTTCCAGGACCTTCCCCAGTGTCAGAGCTGTGGCACCACTTTCTTTTCTGCCTTCTGGGGCAGTGTAAGCACTTCCCTGATGGGTGTTTGGTTCCCATGGCCAGAGGGGTTGGAGATCTAAGCCAAAACAGCATTTCTCAACATGGCCGAGAGCAGCAGCAGACTGGGGCTCAGTAAGGCTCTCCCAGGAGGAAGGAGCTGCCCTGTTAAAGCAGATACTTCCTCACAGGTGCAGATTTTAGGCACCAAATACAGACTCATCCTAGGATCATAGGAGGGGATGCTAGGAAGGGAAAACAAGAAGATTCAGAGAACTTGGAGCACGACTGTTCTGAAATTAGGCTTCTGTCTCGCAGTAGAGGTGTGTATAAACATCCCAGGCCTCCCTGTCCATAACCCTAGGATCTTGGGGCTGAGATCAAGTAACATTTCCTAAAGGAAACCAGGCACTCAATCCTAGTGATGATAATATTAGCTAACATTTTTGGAATGCACTGACTTAGTTCTTTGTGTATAATTCATGGATCTTACTAATGACCCAGAGAAGTCCCATTATAATCCTGCCCTTCAGGTGAATAAACAGAGGGACCAAGATCTAAGTGACCTGTTCAAGGATCCTGAGTCCAGAGTTGGGATCCAGGCAGTTGAAATTTCTTGGGTGACACTGTCAACAACCTTAGCTCAAAGCCCATGCTGGATGCCTTCTAAATGCAGGGCTGCATTCTCAGAAGGGGAGGACTAGATGGCTTAGCTGGATTTAAGCAATTAGCAGATTATTTCAGGTACTGCTGTCAGCAAGAAGCCAGGCCCTAACATCGTGAGGTCCTAACATTACAGGGAACCAGGGACACACCTTGATTCTTCATGTCTTTTTTTTTCTGGTACTGGGGATCAAACTTGGGACCTTGCGCTTGTGAGGCAGGTGCCAGAACCTCTGAGCTAAATCACCAGCCCAATTCTTCATGTCTTTGACGGAAGATTATAGACAACGCATGTAGGCTGACATATGAGTACAGGCAGAGTTTATTGCAAAATGATAGATTTTCAGAGTGGGAGGGAGAATCCACCTTCGAAGGTGGGCAAACACCAAGATGGCAGTTGCACTGAAGTCTCAGGTTGTGTTTGCATGATTCACTGGGTCTTTCAAGGAATGTTCTTCCCTTCCTCTGAGGTCATTGTTCTTTCACAAGGAAAATGGGCTGTACTGACCTACTTCAGAGGAAAGCAGGTCCTCATTCATTCCACAGGCACATGTTTTCCTTTTTGTTTGTTTTGAGATCTTGAGGCTTTTCCAACCCTTCACCATGGTCAGGACTTTGTATGGACCCTGTTACATTCTCTTGGGCTAAAGTTTGAAATTGCAAGCTTGTGTGGATTTTATCATAGCTAATAATTAAGAAAGTGAAGAAAAACAGTTCTATTTTCCTTGCTTTTGACATAGTCTCCAGTTGAGTATCTCCAGGCCTGCTAATGTCTTAACTTTCTAACACTACTACTACTACTATTAAGTAGTAACTATGAAGAATTTCCTGTTCCCTGCTTGCCTCCTCCTGGCCTAATTTCTTAAATGAGGGAATACACAAACAAGAGATGGGCTTAAACAAGGGGATGATTACCCTTTGTTCCTAGGCTATTAAGTGTGTAGGACTCCTCAATTTTCTGGGACCAAGTAAAATGATAAAGTTATTAGCAGTAGACCTGTTTGAATTGTGCTTCCTCTGGCAGGTCAGGGTCAGCCTCCTTTGAGTAGCATCTCCCTTCTTTGGTCCTCTGGTCTCCAGTGTAAATCCACTTCCATACCTGTGGTGGGAGACGAGGGGTGGGGAGCCAGGCAGGAAGGACTGGGCACAGCTCAGCTCAGGCTGGTGCAGCTTCAGGCTGCACTAAGTGCCCTCTGTTCCTCTCTGACACAGCTCTTCTCTCCACTGTTTTCTTTACTGTGTTTGCCTCCATGGCCTGTTCTGGCTTTCATTATGTCTTATCTGTGCAACTGTAATAGCCTCTGAACAGATAGAAGCAGGGGATTTAGAATTGGAAGGATCTGAATTTGATCTTGACTCTACTACTTATTTCCAGTTTAACCCCTGGGCAAATGTCTGGATCTCTTGGACTTCAATTTCCTTATCTCCACAGTGCTGAAAACAATACCTTACCTTTCAGGTATGGGAAGATGGAATGGCAGTGTTCACATCAGGTGCCTGGGACAGGGTCATCTCTGATGCTATCATAATTTCAGGATATTTTCATTAGATCTCCCATCTCCAAACCAGCCTAGATTAATCTTCCCTAAACAATTCTGATCCTGTCACTTCCTATCCTTCCGCAGAAGCTGCAGTTGCCAACAAAGCCTGTTTGTAAGGGGTGTTACCTCACTTTTCCCAGTCTGGATGCCAGAATCTTAACTTTGAGAGTCAGGAAGCTCCTGCTCAGCCTACTTTCCATAAAAATACCTGGAGAGAGTCTCGAACTTAGGAAGACAATACAAGGGTTTGTTAATCATAGCTGAATCCACCCAATGGAAAGAGACCAATATGTCTCACTGCTTGGTTAGGTTATACGTACTTATATGATGAGATAAGAATTCTTGGAAATATTGACAAACCCCACCCCTCATGCTAACTTCTCTGGCCAATTATTGTATATTCATTGCCTGGAGAGATAATGTTTTAGGAAAAAGGGGAACCTTTTCCTGGCTGCTGAATTCTTTGTGGAAAGAAAAAACTAGTTAACAAAAGATAAAGGAGAAATGTGAACTGAGGAGCACTTGATGGGGGAGGGGGAGAGGGAGGCTGTGCTTGGGGGAGCTGTACCCCACAACTTGTGCCATCAGCCAACTGCCCGGGCTCTGCTAGTCCCCTGCTTACCTGCTCTGGAGGACCTCCATCCACAGCAGCCAGGAGGTTCTTGACAACCCACAGGGGGTACTTTCCTGTGCCTGGAGACTTCTCAGACCCATTTGACTAAGTCCTTGTGAATCAGCCTCAATATCTATAGGACAGCAAGCGTTTACACACACCCTGTTAAAACCGACGAATGCTCACCAAATCACACATCAAGGACCTTTGATTGAACTTAACTACGAATGTCTCTATCCCAGTCACCATGAACTTATACCCTCTATGGAATGAAGCTATAAAGGACATCGGGGAGAGTTGAGGTTATTAACTGGTGCCTCTTGAGATTGATGCCCCATATGTGAAAATGCAGAAGGTAAATTTATGATTTGGTTAAAGGCGACCTCTTCCTTTGCCTTCTGACAAGAATACATCCTTCCTGGTTAGGCCCGCAGCTGACCCACTTCCATTCAGGTCCCACCTCTTAGCACATCTAGCACCCAAATAATCCAATCACCTTCCACACACATGACCACTCTGGGGAACATTTTATTTTATTTTATTAATTTATTTTTGGTACTGGGGATTGAACTCGGGTCCTTTCACTTGCAAGGCAGGCAGCAGAACCACTGAGCTAAATCCCCGGCCCCCAGAACATTTTATTTTTGACAACTACAGGGCTCATCCTCTTTGGCTTCTCAGCTGGTACCAATTGTCAGACAGTGGGTGACTCCTTCATGGACATTTCCCCATTTGAGTTCCCAGCTGAATGTAGCTGCCTAAGACACTGCAGCAGACATGTAAGGGACAGAGTGGAGCCACCCCTTCTGAGGCTGTCCATTTCCAAAATCAAATAAATAGCTGTCATCATAAGCCTCTGACTTTTTGATAGTTTTTTATATAGCAACGAGTAACAGAAATTCCATCTTTCTAAGAGATGCTTTTTTATCCAATGCAGGGACTTCCTACAGGGAAGGGGCCTTGGCTTTGTCCAATTTGATCACTTTGTTCTCAGACCCTAACAGTAAAAAATAAGTGTCCAGTAAATATTTGTAGAATCCATGACATAAACCAAGCACCACAGCATCTACCCTGCGTTATGATGGTTGATTTTCTGGCTGTTCCTCTGCCTTCTAAACCATGAGCTCCCTAGCCTGATGCTTCCATGTATTGTTGATGAATGGTTGGTAGAGTTCTATGAGGTTTATATATGTACCAATATATTAAGTGGGACTTTGACTATTGTCTATGGAATTCTAGTTGACCAAAAGCTGAGAGCAATGAATAGTTAATACCCTATGTTCTAAAGATTGGGGCTAGACACATTTGAAGTACATGTTAAAGATGGCTGCACTATGTTTTCAAACTTTATTCTTTGCCTGCATCCTGTGTAAGAGAAAGAGAAGTGCTAGAGATTTGTGATGAGGGTCTAGAAAATAGAGCCAGAGAGTCTGGGTTCAAATCCCCATTCTGCCACTTGGCTGTGAGACCTTAGCCACATCAGCCAGCCTCTGTACTCCCATTTACTTGTCTGTACCATAGGAGTGGTAGCAGCTACCTTATAGGGATGCTGGGAATTAAATGAGTTACCATACACAGACCCAGTGTCATCCTACACTCACAAGCCTTAGCACAGTGCCTAGCTCATAGAAAGGGCTTGTAAGTGTCAGCTATCGGTGTTATCCCTGTGCATGAAGCACTGTTTCAAGAGAACTGGCTCCTTTCTGATGCCAGGAGAGGCATTTCCTAGTGAGGAAACCCAAGTTTGAGGTCTTACAGAGCAAGACTGGCATGGTACCCCCCTCCCCCTACACCTCCAGCTGAATGACTGAGCTGAGAAAACATCTAGACCAGTGGTGGGGAGCCTGTGGCACCCATGCCCCAGCTGGCTGTTATCAGTAAAAACTCTAAAAGGTTCGCCATCACTGGTTTAGACCCTTCTTGGGCTGCATAGGAGAGGACATGGTGAGAGCATTCTTTAAAAACTGAACCCATCCCTCATGGCACATGGGGGCATGGAGACTGGAGTGACCCAAAGGAGAAAGACTGGCAGAGTGAGACAAAGGGCAGAGGTAGTGAAGAGCACAGCTCCAGGGTTGGAGGTGAGGCCACTGAGGGCTCTGCCAGCTAAGTGGATGCTGTGGAAGCCTCAGCATTGGAACCCTTTTAATAGGCTGTGCCAAGGGGATGGCCTTTCCTGGGCGACGCCAGCCTCATGGGTAGGTGAGGAAGGCCCTGCCAAGCTGCAGGACAGAGTGAGAGTTTGAACAGCTGCCATGCAGAGCCCTTCACGCAAACCTTGGTAGCAGCAGCTAAATCAATAGGCTACTTTTTGCCCTTGCTACAGGCTGAAAGCTTGTGTCTCTACCAAATTCTCATTTTGCCATCTAGTCCCAATGGGGAGGTACTAGAGGTAGGGACTGTGGGCCCTTACATGAGACCCAGGGGGCTCTCTCACTCCTCTGCCACAGGAGCAGCCTGAGCTGAGGAAGAAGGCCTTTATATAGGGCGAGAAGTTGAAGTTTTAATGTTAGAAGGATTGGGACTTTAAGAGTGTCTTAGAAGGAGGTTTTCCAGTGCCTAGCAGTGACAGTGCTCTGGGCTCACCTCTGATGTTATCCCAGGAAGGGAGGCTGATTCGAAGCTGGTGGGCAAAACACTGTGGCTGAGAAGGCGTCACTGCCACTGCTGTATGTTCAGGTGTGTTGACAGCATCTCATTCTTATGACAGCTCTTAGAGGTAAATGTCTTATTCTCATTTTATGCAGGCTTAACAAGTCCACTAACAACACACAGCCAGAGATGAAGCCAACGTTCAGGCCCAGCCTTCTCTCCACCTTCACAACCCCAGTGCTTAGCCGTGGTACCAACACACAGGAGGTGTGTGGTACAGCTCATGCGTACTCTGCTGCTGCACTAGGGTTGGCAAAGCAGGATTTGTTAAAGCCAAACAGATCACACTGCCATCCACCAGAGCCTCCTAGCTCTGGCAGCGCAGAGCAGCTGCCCTTAGTGGTGCAGGTCTGGTGCTCTTCCAGTTCACCTCCAGGTCCCCCAGCCTAACAAGCACATGCTCTGGAGGGCGTGCAGAGCAATGACAGGAGCAGAGGAAGAGCGCAGGCTGCCCTGAAGCTCTCACCATAGCAAAATTGTTTGGTATTAGGAAATATTCCCTAAAGGACTTAAATAAATTAGCAAGTATGGCTGTCTCTGCTCCCTTCCTTTCTTTTTCTGTCCAAAGCCACTGGGTGGGATTGGAGAGGGATCCAAAAACATGGTGTTTGTAATTTACCTTTTTCACAGGAAGTCGATTATATAGGTGAAGAGAAGGAGGGAGGGAGGCGGAAAGGAGGCAGATGGTCAGGCCAGCTGGCCGCAGGGTGAAAGCTGAATCTTGAGAGGCCAGGACTTCCAGCACCCTTGGCTTGGCTGTGTTTTGTACTTGCACTTGGCTGTGGGTGTGTCCAATGTTCTGGGAATTCACATCCTTTCAAACAAAAGCTCAAAACCACACACTGAGAAGATTCTCTCTGGAGATTTGGAAAAACTGCTCAATTTCTCTAAGCAGCCCCCAGAGTAGCTCCTCCTCAATTTCATCTGGTATTTGCAAAGCATTTTCACAGATATCCTTTCATTAGATCCCACAACAACGCCCCTCCAAATAGATGGAAAAAGATCATTATCCCTCTTTTACAGAGTTCTCAGAGCCTCACCATGATTGAAATACTTGCCTGGGGTCAAATAGCCAAAGGTTACAGCACCCATCTGAATTCTGGCCCTGTTCTCCACTACACCCTCTTCCCTGGTGAGGTGGCCAGCCCCGGCCACTCCTAAGGTCACCCCTAGTTCTCAACCACAGCCTGGGCTGGGCCCAGGGCCCCATTTGTTCTAGAAGGACAATGAGGTCCCTGTGAACACTGTATGTACACTGTCAGTATTTGTGTCCTCTTTCTAGTAGATGTTAGACTTTTATCCAGAAAATCTACTGGTAGGGATTTAGTTTTAGAGAATATTCAAAATCTGGTCACAACAACAGTTATATGAGGTGTTCAAATACAGATAGATGTCTGTACTGTTTTTCATAAAAGGGATACAAAGAACATGACCTTAATATTCAAGGTAGACCCCTTTAAATTAGGATATATTAAATCACAGCAGTATTACTCATCTCCTAAAAACTCACATAGTAGAAGGACATTGAATGATGTGAAAAGATATTCATAACCCACTGTTAAATAAACAAAATAAGTCACATACAAAATGTTTCAGGATTGTCCTATTTTGCTTCAACAAATACTAACGTGTCCATAGACATATTGATAAATACCCAGTAAGATACATACCAAAACAATAACGGTAGTTGTTTCTAGTTGGGAAGATTCTGGATGATTTTTATTTCCTTATTTATCTGTTTTTTAAAAAGTACTTTTACCCTGAACACGAATTGATTTTGTAATGTGAAAAAAGATACCTAAACATAGTAAAGGATCAACTCTGTCATTCCTTTATTCAGTCACTCGTTTTTTTTCCCAATGCGTTAAATTCTAGAGAGTCAGGAATTCAGAATTAAGTCTGCAGTCCCTGTGCCATTGCCTATTTCCAGATTCACAGGGTCATCCCTTTAGAAGGAAGCCAATATTCACTGAGCATTTAGCCTGTGCCAGGCATTCTTACACATGCTTTATGTCATTAATCTTCAATGCTTTCTGCAAAAGAGATATAATGATTCCTATTTTAAAGGTTAGAAACTGAGGCTTAAGAGGCTAATTGATTTGGCTAAGGATGGACAGCTAGTTAGTGGTTGCCTGGTTGCCTTTCACTGTGACCTTGGTTGCCCGAATGTCATAAGGATGGACCTCTACTGGACGCCTGTCCCAGGTGGAATTAAGCAGGGTGTCTGCAGGGGTTGAGAGGGTGGCTGAACTGTCAGGAGCAAAACTGATAATCCGGCCCCCTGAATTCTCCATTACCTAGCAAACCCAAGCCACAGAAAAGACACAATGTCCTGAACTGTGCCTGCTCACAGCCAGTCAATTTTTCTCTCCTGCTTTCTCTGAGCAGTGTGTTGGAACTGCACACTGCTATGGTAGATTCCCCACCATCCAGCTGGACTGGAGCAAAGACCCTTTGGTGAATAAAGGAAGTTTCAAGTTGGCATTTAAAAATTTGATATAAAAAAGGGAAGCATAAAAAAAATAAAACCCAAAAACAAAATTAGAATCCACCAGTGGATAGAGCTCTAGGGATCAAATATTCTCTTTGTATTTGCAGGCAGGGCAAAGGCGTTCTGCAGCCGGGCTGGAGTTTTCAGTTGGCCATGCAGAAAATGCTTCTGGGCACTCCCTTGAAAAACTAAATCAACATTATTTTAATTGTGTTCCCTGCTTCCTCATTCACAGTGGAGGAGAAGGTACGGGGCTGAGAAAGAGCATATTTCTCTTCCAAGTTAACTTAACATGCAATATGCAGGGGATTACTCTGTGCTCACTCAATACCACAGCCCAGAGCTTTATAGAGTTCTATTGATCTTAGCTAAAGCTGTTTAATTTTTTTGGCTTTAATTTTCTTTCCTTATTTGCTCATTAAGTTGAGGTGACGAAGGGGTGGAGGGCTGATGGAAGGTGATACTCTTTGGATTTAAGGTTGGTTTGAGGGCCCAGAGGAAAGCTCTGACCCCAGCCACTGGTCACATGGATGGGCAGTATTTTATCTGCAGTGGCTTGGGTAGGTTCACAGTGGCCACGGAGAAGGGGAAATACAATATCCAGGCCTCCTGGACATTGTCTGCTGCAAAGTCTCATAGAATATGGACCCATTCTCTACGTCCCTGAGGCAAAACTAGGGTGCATCTAACATAGATCTGACCCATAAAGAGTTTACTATCTACTGTCAAAGAGACACACGATAATCCAAAATGGGACAGTGACACAGATGTTTTGAGATAAATAAGATTAAAAAAAAACAAAACAGGAAGCACAAAAGAAAGAAAGCATACATTCCTCTGCAACTCCTAAAACCTTTATGATATAAACTCTCCATTGAGCAGTAGAGACTCAGGAGGAGAAATCATGGCCAGTGCTTGAGCAAAAAGCATGGGAAGTAGCGGAGGCTGAAGGTCAGAAACTGCCCTCCGCCCTGTGTCCTTGCTGGATCAGGGGGTGGGGCTTCTGAGGGGGGCCCATGGGTCTGGGCTGGTGATTAGGCCCCATGCTTGGGATCCTGGGGAGGGGATGGGCTGTGGGGTGTATGCTCGGAGCCTGCCCACCTGGTGGCAGAGCACTGATGCACACCTGTGACAAGGACCAAGATGACAGAGAAGGGCTGGGCCCACCTCATGTTTCTTTGGGACTAAGTAGGTCCTAAGATCCTTGTAGGACCTAATATAGTGCAGGAGGGAAGCCTGGTGGTCATAATAAATGACATCAATTGAACTTTACTATATGCCAGGTACAGTACTAAATTTTCACATATATTATTTTAATGTATCTCCACAAAACATCTCTGAGATAGGTTCCTTAGAATCCCCTGTTCATAGGCAATGATGTTGAGGCAGAAGTCCGTTCCCTGGAGGATTATGGGTGGTATAGCAGAGACAGCACTGAACTTTGTCACGCTGGCTCCAGGACTCCTTGCCAAACCATCCTGCCAATTGCCACTCCTACAGGGCCCATCGGACCCCAGGCATGTTCCTTAGTGGTCATGACCTAGTCTTGTTTGTGAGTGAAAAAGAATTAAATGTGATGAATTTGCACCCTAGTACCATGGACAAAATTCATACTTGACACAAAAGAACTACAAGAGAGAATGCTAGGGGAGGTTAGAACTCAAACAGCTTACTTCTGCTGGAGAAAACGTTAAGGTTGTCAGTGAGGTTAAGCACTGACAAATGAACCTGTAAGACAGAAGAGTGTTTTGTTTTTCTTTTTGACAGGATAACTAAGAATCAGACATGTACTTAGCAATAATGAGTAGTTGATCATGGCATGAGATAGGAAGTAGTAAGAGATGGGAAAGGAAGGCTGGGTCCAAATCATAAGGGTCAAGAGATTAGCCTGAAGGTCAAAGGTAGCCTACGCATTTTATGCTATGGGCTGTGGGGGTTTGGCAGTAGCTGCCTGGATTGTTCTGTCTAAAAGATACATGAGAAAGAGGGCAGGGTCAAGTAGGAATATCAGTCATAGGATGAGACCCCACAATCTCATTTCTTGTCCTGGGGTTTAACAAAGGGAACCCAAAGGAGGAGGATGACATTTAACCCTGGTGGGGTATGCGTGCCCCAAATCCAAACCAAAGATCTGGTCTTTCTGAGGCACAGATGATAACTTTGTATTGTCAATAATTCCTTTCTTCCTCTCCTCCAATGGTAATTTTATTGGAAATGCCTAGAAGTGGTGAAAACACCTATTTTTAGGGGTGGCCAGGGAGCTCTGGCTGTGTATGCCGACCTGGAACTTCTGACTATCTGATCCAATATGTAGAAAACTGGATGATAAGATTCTAGGATTCCCAGTTCCAGGACTGACTCTTGACAATAGCACCCAGGGGTCTTTAGGCCGATATTTGAACTTCTCACAAGTCTTCCTACTTCCTCAGTTTTCTGTGAGCAGAAAAGGAAGTAGACAATGTGAAAATACTATGACAACTAAAACATGCCCTCCTGTTTTAATGTAATATTATATTCAATCCAAATTTCTATCGGCTGTAAGATGTTTTATCATTTTAGATAACAAAAATAAAAACTTCTGCCAACTATAGCAGCTATCCATTTCCAATCACATGCTATTACCAGGGATATTAAAATGCTAGAAAAGCAGCATTTTAAAATCAATGAAATATGGTAGATTATGACAACAATCTAGTTCCCAGTTACCAACTCCCATTTACACAAGTTAAACGTGTTTGTCAGGATTCCAGGTCAGTTTCTTAAAGTATGAATTCTCATATTTAAAAACACCTCACTTTATATAACACAAAAATCTGGACTTGCACTTTCACTCTGTAACTGCAAGTTGGAGACACAGTTCTCAAGGGGGACTGTCCTGATTTACAGCGACTCTGGAAACCCTGACGGTCAGTTCAGACAGAACTGGCTCTGAATCACTTGAGCTGCCAAACAGCACTGATTAAACACTCGCTAGAAACAGTTAAGGTCAGGGAGCCCCGTTGTGTGACACAGTAAAGCTGTGCTAGCTGCCAGTCTGGGGCTGGAAGTGATGGAATGTGAAGCCAAAGTAACTCTCACAAGACTGGAATTTACCTCTGTTCCCCATTTTATTTTTTGTACCATTTTTTTCGTTTCCTTGAGAATAAGCTAAAAACACATGAACTTCTGACTAAACAGGCCCCACTGGGGTGCATATATTCCCAGGGGAACCCCAGGAGGGTCAGCTTACTTGAGTTTACAAAC